ATCTGGAGGGTTTAATAGATGGTGTTTGAAAGAAAGACAAAAATTGCTCACTTCAGAGTAATTTCAGCAGATTGACCATGGTTACCCCAAAACATTTTGCTCTCTGAGACAAAGGGCGACATGGCATCTCTATAGTCATATAAAAAGGCTAACCAGGTAGTGATTTGTCTTTAATACTGATGATGTAAAGCATCTACTCCACAGCATGTCGAGGCAGGAGACTGTGTGAAGGGACTCGCAGAACTCTGTCTGCTTCTGATCATGAAAAGCTGCAATCTCTGGCAGGTTCCTCATTTCTTCTTTATGGGCAAAACCTGTGCCAGGTCAAAAAAAAAGCAAGAACTGTATACCTTTGTGGATTTAATTATTCATTGATTTGATTGATATGCTCACTCTAGGAATCTCTATAGATCCTCGAGCATGACTCCATAGTTAACTTCTGCCATGGTGTTGTGTTGGATAATTTAAAAAATAGCTAGAGGAAGCACTTTTTTAGACGTTTTTAGGTCTTGCAAGGAAATTCTGTGGTCAACTTATAATAAAGGTGACCACTGAGGCCCCTTCTACACTGCCATATAATCTAGATTATCAAAGCAGATAAACCACATTATCTTCTTTGAACTGGATTATATGAATCTACACTACCATAAAATCCAGTTCAAGGCAGATAATCTGGATTTTATATGGCAGTATAGAAGCGACCAGGGTTGTTCTGGAACAGTGGTTCTCAACTTGTGGGTCCCCAATGTTTTGGTCTTCAACTCCCATAAATCCTAACAGCTGGTAAACTGGCTGGGATTTCTGGGAGTTGTAGGCCAAACACCTGGGGACTCACAAGTTGAGAACCACAGTTCTGGAGGATCTTGATATTCTTAGAGAACTGTTTTCTCAGATAAACTATAGTGTTTCCTTATTGAAGATTTTCCACTTTCATGGGTATCCTGAGCCCCTAACTCAGGATGAATTTAGAGGACTGGTTGTGGTCATTCATCAACATCTCTTTCTTCCATAGTTCATGGCCGTCTCTACGGACTACAAAGCCCTGAAGAAGGACCGCCCAGACTTCTGAGGTGACCAGGCCATCTCTTGCTCCTTTGTGAGCCACCAAGTGCCATTAATTTCAGTTCTGTATATGTCAAGCTACTGTTGTTGTTGTTGTTGTTGCCGGTGTTGCTTGCCTGTTATTTGCTACATCAAGGAACCCCAAGGAAATGTAAACAGTCCATCCAGGATATACAAAGGAAAATATTAACTTATGCTCTCTTTTCCCTTCGTAAAATGCTCCTGTGTGTTACAGTAACAACAAAGCAACTCATTTGTTAAAGAGAGGGGGAGGGAAAAGAGAAAGTGAAGGAAATTCATTTTGCATACTCCCTTTGGGTCTCAGAAAGGCTTTTCAGTTCAATGTTTTCCCATCTCCATTTTGTGAATGTCCCTGACTCCTCCACCCCACCATTTGTGGTGTTTCCTGTCTCCCACACCCAGATTTACCATTCCCACAAGGAGTAGGGGACACAAGACAGTAGATTTCAGATGTGGAGATGCCAATTGAGGTCCAAAGGGGGATGCCATCCATATTAGAGTCAGTCTGGAGGAAGTGGATCTGTAGGAGTGAGAGAAGGGCTAAAGAATGAGGCAAGACTGCTTGGCAAATGTTATGGAACCAGTTTCAGAAAACCAGTTATCTTCGTGATTAGCTGTGCGGGAGGACATTAGATGGTGGGTTCACTTGCTTATATGCCTGGCCAGTTAGATTGTTATACTTATGTATCTGAATACTATTATAAAGATGTTTGAACAGCATATGTCTCTCTGTGTTAATTTATTCTACAGGGTTTGTTGTGGTTTTCCATATTCAGTTAATTTGGGTACAAACATTATAGAACATATAGAAACAAGGAACGTTCTACAAGGATGTTCTAAGTAGCCGCTCACATGTCTATTCCTTGACAGCCTTCTATCCCTGGGCCTTTAGGACATTTACTGTTTAGACCACAGAAATTTATATAATTGGCCAAATAGGTAGAGTCCAGGCCTGTAGCTTGGGGG